ACACACACACACACACACACACACACACACACACACACACACACACAGAGAAACCACTCTTCCTGTTTCAGCTCACCACCATCATTGCTGAGGAAGGCCCCCTTGGGAGAGGAGGGCACCGACGATCCCCAGACGTTGATTGGTTTCGGGTAGCCTCGGTCGGCCAAGCGCGACTGTTCGTTGAAGCGCCAGTACCTGCAGAGAGCAGCGTAGAAAAATGTTGTTAGCGTTTAACAACTCTCTACTCAAGAAAAGAGCAGACTTCTTACAGAGTAACAGAACATGACGGGTCTACATAGGGTGTGTATAACGGTGTAACGGTACGGTTTACACTGGACATTTAAAGCTGTTCTGTGTGTAAATGCACTAGTGAACCTGAAGCAGATCAGTGAGTCACACTGTGTTAAAGTGTCAGTATTTTCATAATTAGGTTCCCCTAGATACATTTGTGTTTTCTTCTGCTCCACAGCAGTTCAGTATATACTATGTATGTTCTAACTTTGTTATCAAAGAACTGCAAAAGAACAGCTGCTGTTGCTCTTCTTCTTCCATAGCTTAATACTCAATGCTGGGAACTTCTAACATACACTTTTCCTGTGATTTCAGTCATGTCCATCTTTATATTGAAATAAGAACAAAAACTAAATATAAAGTAAATGATCAAAAACACACGTGAACATTCTTTGAAGCTAAAATCAGAAATCCATCACAACGTGTTGTGTTTGTCTTTGCAGCCTGTGTCTACTGTTGCGCCCGAGGTTACCATTCCACTAACCATACGTGTTCAACTAAGACATGCTGTGTGAGGCTGTTCTTACAGGCACGGTGATGCTTTCAGCTAAATGCTAACTTTAACGCGCTAACATGCTGGATGATGCCAACGAGCTCTTGTTTCGCAGGTATAATGTTAGCCAACGTATTTTAGCGCGTTAGCATGTTAACACAGTACAGCTGATAGGAATGTCAGGTCATAGAAAAAAAACATTGGGCACATCTGAGTTCTGACCGTTAAAATAGTCACTTAAAATAAAGGAGACAGACAGTAAAAGGATTACAGTTCATCCTGTGTGAGACATGAACGTCTGCATCAAATGTCACGCTCGTCTTTTCTCTAGTTATGAGATATTTCAGTCTGGACCAAAGACACTAGAGCCACACCGCTAGCATCGTTAACAAAAAGACTGACTCCATGTATTTGAGCATGTGCAATGCATTTGGGATTTGTTTCATGGAATAATAGCTAATCAAACTAATGATATACTGATGCATACTTGTCTCCTGGGTAGCAGGTGAATTAGAGGGCTTTCATGTGATGCTGACAGGTTGCAGGCTACGTACCAGTCTCCTTGGAAGAAGTACGTGTAGCCGGATGGCTCCCACCAGATGGCTGTGTCTATCCGGTCGTAGGGGATATCTTGACCGTAATCAACCAGCTCCATTGGATAGCCCAGTTCCAGGTTAGCCTCCCGGAAAAGCCAGAATCTGTTTCCTGAGGAGAGGAGGGGAGAGGAGAGGAGGGGAGGGGAGAGGTGAAGAGAGGAGGGGAGGGGAGAGGTGAAGAAAGAAGAGGAGAGGAAAAGTGGTTAATGGTGCATACATCGGTACATTCCCTATCCACCCCCACTCATAATAACCCTTATGGACTCTGGAAAATATTAGCATACACAATCTCACTGTATGTCATGTGCTTGCTGGCACAGAATATGTTCAATTATTGAAACTGAATGAGGAATAAAAAAAAGAGAACAATAAAAACAATCAGAGAAGCCAGACCAGCATTTGCACACTTGTAAATGATGTGAATGCAATAATGATTTGTTGGCAAGCAATCAAAAAAACAGAAAGGCAGAGCGGAGCACATCACGGACTGTGGAGATTTGGTTGAGCTCATAATTATCCATTAGGAGCGGCTTGTCTCATGTCAGGCTGGAGGGAAGGTTTTATTGTTTTTTACTGTGTCAGACAGGGGGACTCCGTTCCTCCTGGCACATTACATCTCTGCTCTTGGCTTCAATCCGCCACTCCACCCTCCTCCCCCTCCCACCCACCTCCGGGCCCCTTGCTCCTTGTTTAAAATGAAAGCTCTGCACTCAGCATCTGGAGAGAACAAGAGGCTGACGCAATGCTTCCCAGGGCTCCTGGCGTGCACGGGCCCTGATGTAGAATCCCATGACCTTCCCTGACTACAGCGCAGCGCTTCAGTGACCTCAAGAGTTCTCAGTGCTGTGTAACTGCTGTTTTTCACACAGTTTGGGTTCTATTACAGTTGGGCTTGTCTTGGATCAAAACAGCTGTGAAACAGGAGAGAATGTCTGGATTACATCTTACAACGTAGATATTCCATATATTTGATGTCCAAATTGATTACTCCCTCCATCCACCTCTCCATCTATTCATCCTGATTAAAAACGTTTCCCTTAAGCCTCCATCAATACATAGAATGCCACGTTCAAACTTACTTTCTTGGAAGTTATTAAATTGAACTTGGCAGTTAATAAGAACGGAACGCTGTTCTTGTTGACATCAGCAGATATCTCACTGTTATAGAGTCATTACTTTAGAATTAGGTGCCTGGACGAATATATCAGCTGATTATTACAGGTGGTGTTGGATGAGTACGTTGCAGGTTTCTTGTTTTAGGGCTCTTATTTTTTGGGGGGCGGTTTTTGTCATTTCATTTTGCTTGCATTTGGCTTGCTAGAAGAACGTCAGAAAGAAAATAATTTAGCTTTTACTTGCTATTATAATTATACCAAATTTTTATATTCCTCACCTAAATAATCCCCAAATTAAATTTGGGAAAAATACTGTTCAGACAGCCAACATGCATTACATTGTCAACGCAGAATATGTACAGTGTTTACAGGAAACACCAAGCTCAGCACAGCAGGGAGTGATTGCCGAGACACAAAAACTGTTACTTACTAATTATTGAAACCACCAACTCATGTATCTACTGACCAGGTTTGTTCAACCAGAACTTTACATTCAATGCATTCACCTACATGCATCATTCAAAACTAAAAGCCTGTGTGTCTTGTTCACTTAACACTGCCAATGAAATACCACATTCTATGATCGATCACCTGCACCCAGAATGCACCTGTGAAAACACAATTAGATCACCTAGAATTCAGAGCTACAACACTATAAATAGGATGCAGGTTTGCTCTTTGGCGTTCACAACAATGGAGGCCAATTTTGAGAGAGATCAGAGGTCTGTAATTACAATATACTACATTTAGTTTACAGTAACTACGTTCATGTCATCTTCAGATGAGGTTATTGTGTCTGATACATGATTATTGAGCATACAAACTGCATTTATGTTGGTTTCATGCTGTATATTTACAGCAAATAACTGACAAATGAAAATGATAACAGTGTTTTATGGAAAGAGTTATTTTGTGTGTGTAGAGTTTCGACAAAAGAGGGCCGTTGTTTCACAAATTGCGCAATTACAAAAAACTGTATTGTCAATTATATCTATATATACATATATACTGTATACATAGATATGTAGACTGATATTTGTGGGTTTCTGATTCAATGCGAAATGCATGCTGTGATACTGTCTGTCTCAAAATCAGGACCATTCTATGCTAAGACAAGAACACCCCTCTCTCTTGTGCGCTCAGGTCCGGCAGTCCTTCCTTCCCTTTTTCCTTTCCTTCCTCTTCCATTTCTCTTGTTCTTTCTTTGCTAATGGCCTGCAGCCAAGTGTCACACTGAGAGGCTTGCTGATGACATCATCATCCTCCTCCTCCTCATCATCATCAACAGCTGCCCGTAGCTCCCAGAGTCCAGCCTCATTAAAGACCCGGTTCTTCCCTTTGCGTTCGACTAACTTTATCCACTGTTGTAAAAGACAAGCTGCCCTCAGTAACTCACAGTGCAAATAATGAGCTGTGCTAAAAGAGATTTATACTCCGCATGTAGAATACATTATGTTTGGGTGGGGGGGGGGATCTTCAGCATAATCTGAAGGAGATGAAACAAGTTCCAGAGTCTGTTTTACTGTTGAAATCTGAACGCATTAAGACATGACGGGATGGAATGACCATGGAGCATTAGAATGCATTGTAAAGAGGAAACCAGATGGTGGACGGTTCTCCGTGCAGTTGAGGATGTTAACGGGTTTGCAAACTCTGCACTACTAGAACACTGCAACATCTTATCTGCAAAGATCAAAGAGAAGAATTTTTCCACCTTAAAGAGCTGACATGCTGCTACATATGTAAGACAGACTGACTTATGATCAAAACTGTCCTACCACAGCGTCCAGTGAATCCAACTGATTGAGTAATGGCGTGGCAGAGAAAACGGCGCCGCGTCACTGGACCCTGAATGCAAACACTGGTGTTGTTTGTCACTCTTACTACTTGAGCAGGAGCAGTGCTGCGATACAACGTCTGTATGTTACTCTGCTGCCTGCTGTAAGACAGCTCGTACCCTCATTTTCTCAAAGGCTGGAGGTCTGTCATGCTCCAACTGTGACAAGCTAATAATACCAGAAGAAGTTTATTTAGGACAGGCTCAGGCCTGTTTTTACTGCAACAATAACCAGAAACATAGGCCAGTGTGTTCAAGAAATGCACTTTAGATGCAAGACTTTGAGTTTACAGTTTTTATCAATCGTTAAATCACACTAAAATGTGGTGCTTATATATATATATATATATATATATATATATGTTGGGATCTGACTATATGGCTTCGACATGTGCTGTGGAACAAAGAGAGTCAGGCCTTCCCTTTTGCAAGCAAAGGTTTCATCCTGATTGTAGTTTGAGCACCAAACCCCCAGCTCTGAAGAAATTCACATTAGGGTGTGAGTTTCCTCCCCCCAAAAACTATGTGTTCCTGAAGGTACCTGAAAGCACCGTTGCAATCTAATTGGCCGAGGGCCAAGACACCCCAGGACCCCTGTGGTTCAGCCACTGTTCTACAAAACTACCTGCAACCCCCACCTCAATGCTTTTTCCCTTCGACCTCCGTCGAGCTAGGGAGCACACCAACGTTGTTTCCCTTTTCAACCAAATCCTAGGTTAAACAGTTTATATTCGCTGGCCGAATTCACCAAACTGTCTATTTTATCTTTGTTCGTATCCACGAAGCGAACCCTTTTATTCCTGCAGAAGTGAAGAAGCAAGACTTCTTCAGAGAAAGAGAGAGAGAGAACTTCCACTCTCCACCAAGCGCCTCGTTTGCTCTGGCCATAAGGACGTGAAAATCCCTTATCCAGACAACAGCGAATCTCTCCTACCGAGAGAACACCTCCCGCGGCCCGCAGCCGCGCTGCCTGGGCCCAACGAAACTCAGAAGAACCCCTCAGAAGAACCCCCCTCAATCACCACGATTGCATCGTACCGTAAGGAGAAATAGAGTCTGGGCAGAGTTAGAGAGTTAATTTGTGTTTATTTTATCTTGTTCGTGAGCTTAAAGTACTGTTCATTTTTATAACGTGGTGTATGCTTAATAATCGCCGACACTAACGGTCGCTGAGATCGTTGGGGTTGTGGAGAAGCTAGTGTATTTCATGCTACCGTGATCTGTGTTGAGCTAGCCGCCTAGTGAGGTCGAAGTTGCTTCTCATCAGTTCAGGAGGTCAAAACCGCCGGCTGAGACAAAGAGTCGCGGTTCTTGCTCCCCTGGCTGAGAGAGCAATCTTCCGTACTCCCGCGCGCGCAGAGGATCTTAATCTTTTGTTTTATTTAATTTTGTTTTGTTCCTTTCCCTTCTCTTTTACTAATACATACACACACACACACACACACACACACACACACACACACACACACACATAGCTTTGAGCTAATCTACCTACGTGCTAAACGGCTACCGGCACTAGACGCCGGGTCTCCTGTTGGCTATCCGCCATTTTCAGTCTCGCGCATGAGAGACGTAACCAAGTATCAACTACGTAATACGTCGCTGAGCTGTTCCCTCGCTCCTCCCCCTGGCGCGCGCACACACACACACACACACTCTCCCCTCCTCTTTTCAATAGTCTGTTGATTTTAGATAGTGTGCTCATGAATGTATAGTTGTTGATAGTTTAGATATTAGTTGACTAGATCATTAGTATTAGAACGTAATAAACTGTTATATTTTAAAGAGCAGCTCTCTGTGATTACTTTGTGCATGTGTATTGTGATAATAGCTGTATATGTGGTCTGTGCTCAAACTTAAACCTTCGCTTTCACTCTGAATGTGTAATAGTACTCAGACTGTTGGACATTGTGAGTGAACACTAATTATGAGACTTAGTTTATCGTTTAGTTATTGGTCCCTGTTCCCAGGGTGGTGCCCCGTTATTATTAATAATCATTAATAATTGTTACTGACATTAATAATTCTATTGATGTCAAGAATTTAGTTTCTTAGATGCTGATAACCCAAACACACTCCTTTACGTTCCCAACATATTGCTGATAATCCATGTCAGGCTATGTTATTCCCAACATATTGGTGCCCCCTTTTTGAGGCTATGTTATTCCCAACAGGGGTGCGCGAGAGGAAAAGTGTAATGGTGGTCTAATGGTGCAGTCCTGTCTCCTAAAAATGACGTT